AATTGTTCTCATTTTTTATATATTAATTATTTGATTATATATTTTTAATATCAGTTTATTAATAAAAGTAAACTGTTACGAGTTCACGATCCGGGTTTACGATCCGAGTTTATATCATTTGCACGAGTTTGTTTAAACTTGCGAGTTTGATAATCTTGCTCACAGGTAACATAATCCATGCTGATTCAACGGAGGGTTGGGGCGAGGGCTGGGATGATGATGGGGAAGATGAACGGTCTCGATTACTTCCTGCTTTACATGAACACATAACATGATTATCAGAGCGAAATATGTTAATGGGTCAATATGTAACATCTTTTATGTGCAAACAGTCATGCAAAACTAGTGAACAAACAGGTTATTTATGGGTTCTTAAACTTTTGCATGGGCATGAAAGACGGTTTAAGGATATGTTTTGAATGGAAACAGAGACATTCCATTGGTTATACTCTAAATTAGTTGAACATGGGTTACAAAATTCTAAGTACATAGGCGTCCATGAATCTATTGCCACGTTCTTGAATACAATTGCACATGGCCAGTGTAATAGGATGATTCAAGAAAGGTCCCAGCATTTAAGAGAAACTGTCAGTCGACATTTTCATAAAGTGTTGGATGCTTGTCTCAATTTATCTCGAGAAAATATCAAGCCAACTGATCTTGCATTTTCCTATTGTCACCCAAAAATAGCAAATGATCCATGATACTACCCATTTTTTAAGGATACAATTGGAGCAATTGATGGCACTAACATAAATTGTAAGGTTAGGCGAGATAGGCAAGATAAATATATTGAGAGGAAGGGATTTCCCAGTCAAAATGTCATGGCTATATGTAATTAGGATATATGCTTCATGTTCGTGTTGACGGGCTGGGAAGGTAGTGCACATGATGCTCGTGGCTTTCCTTCTGTTATCTCAATTCCATCCATGAATTTCCCTTATCCACCTGAAGGTATATTTCTTTAAATTTCAAATCAATTATTTTTAAATTTAGCTTCAATTGCATTATTTTCACCTCAACATAATTGAGTCATGATTTTCTAGGCAAATATTATTTGGTTGATGCTGGTTATCCATCACAAGTGGGATATCTTGGCCCGTACAAACATGAACACTATCACCTTCCAGATTTTAATCCTCACCCAGGATTTAGAAATGAGGATGAGGCCTTCAATTATTATTATTCAAGTTTGACATGCACTATTGAAAGAACTTTTGGGGTTTGGAAAAATAAGTTTGTAATCTTAAAAAATATGCCCAAATTCAAGTTTCAAACACAGTCCGTAGAGTTTGTGCAACAATGACTGTTCATAATTTTATCAGGCTAGATTCTCTAATTGATGACCACTTTATACAAGCTGAACATGGAAGTGTAATAGATGAAGATAATAATCATGCAACTAGTGAGGCATCCTCATCAAGTTTAACATCTGCCGCACAAATGAATCATGTTCGTAACTCAATTAGAGACCAAATTGTACAAAACTTACAATCTAATTAGTTATATGATTTCATTTACTTTAATTAGAGACCAAATGAATTTTAATTTATATTCATATTTGTCCATTATATATTTTAATTAATTATCTATAATGTGTTTTCAAATTTTTCTCGATAACAAACATTTTTATTTTATAATTTCACAAATAAACTATTTTTATTTTATCAGAATAATTTTAGGTTTTTTTTAAATATTATCACATTAAAAACATAAAATATCAAACACTACTATTCAATAAAATCCATACACTTTTTAGTTATTTTACAGTTGAACTCACTTTTCTATTTACTCATTCAAAGAACTTTTAACTTTTTCAACTGATTTTTTATAAGCACATATCCAAACTTAAATCGTATTATACTGACTAACTTTTACTCTAACTTCTGCTACAAAAATCAGTTAAAATAAAAATCAGTTTTGCCACCGCCAATTCAAACATTCGCTTGGTTGCAACAAAAAAGTCGCTCCGTAGGTGGCATCATAATAGTGCTATGCGGTGACTCCCATGTGATTGCTGTTGAAAGATACAGCATCGGGCGGGAGCAAGAATGCCAAATAAAATATAATAATTATTTTATTTAAATTACAAAAGCTTCCTTTCGTTTCTGAAAACATATATAAGCCTCATTTAAAATTAGATAGTTTGTTGTCCTTTATATATTTAAGGTTTTATTTTCAATCCCTAATTTTTAATTGACAATTAATCATCACTCAGTAATCTCTGCCTCGTTCATATGTGATAATGCTGCGTTCTAACCATCACAAAATTTGTGAAGAATACAAATTAAGTTGCATGTTCCCCAATGTTATATACTTATATGTGAATTTATAGTATGTAATTCATTCGGACAGTGAATATTATGGGACAATTTTATTGCATAGAAATGTGAGAATCCCCATTTAGTATTGGAAAGCTCCTAAAAACGTGTTACTATGCCTCAAATTCAAAACAACAGGAAGTGATGTAACTGCGTATTCTCAATCTTACCCTTACTTTTGTTTGTCAATTTTATCGAGGAGCGTTAATATCACCAGGTTACAAAACTACAGGCATTAGGCAAATCTTTTGTAAGAACCTAATCAAAACACATCACCTGTTGTTAATTTTACATACATACATGTGTGTATGTTACATACTGTAAAATGACAAGTCAGTTGGAATGCTCATTTGATTTTTGTAATTCCAAAAGCTTCAAAATGTGACTTTAAATGCAATTTGGCTTTCCAGGAAAAAAAATTCATTTGACCCTAGCCAATGTCAATGGACTCAAATTAGCTTATGGTATGGCAAAAATCTAAGTATATCAAGTACTGCCTCTTGTTCTTAGGGTGTGTTTGGATAAAACCAAACCGTGGTTTGGAAAAGTGATTCTGGAGAATAGATTCTGGTAGTGTTTGGATAAAAACCAAACCATGGTTTCAGAAGTGCTTTTACGAATTACGAAGTAAATATGTGGAGGAGGTTATCTCGTTTTGCGGAAAAGTGCTTCTGAAACCATGGTTTTGGAGCATCCATCTGTAAAGAATAGATTCTGGAGTGATTTTGAAAAGTGAGAGTGTTTGGATAGTTGTTATCAGAAGCACTTTTTATATACACAAATTACTAAAAAAAAAGACATAAGTTAATATGATAATTACAGAAAAATAGATTTTATGATATATTTTAATTTGAAGGAATAAAATTGTTAATAATATATTTTTTACCAACATAATTAATAATACATAAGATAATATAATTAATAAATAATTAATATGTATATATATTTATAAAATATAAGATTAAATATGTTTATAAAAAAATATGTTTATAAAAAAAAATAATAAGATACATATCTCATAGGCTCTCACACTCTCCCTTTTTTCTCCAAAAGCAAAAAATTTTTGCTTTTTCCAAAACCATAGTTTTGGAGTCAAAACCATGGTTTTGACCCAAAACCATGGTTTGGTTTTTGGGATGACTGTTTGGGCAGTTTTTTACCCAAACCATGGTTTGAGCCTCCAAACCATGGTTTGGACAAACATCCAAACGGTACCTTAATATAAGACATTGTTTGACTTTTATTTTAGTCATAAATATAAGACTCTAATTCACTTTATCTCTCATATTTATCTATTTTTTTCAAAATAATCCTTCAAATAATGATAGTTACAGCCAGTAAATTTGATTAGCAATATGGAAGACGGCACATATTTATTATAAATAACTAACTTAATTTATTTTTTTAATCTACTCAAATTAGTCAACTAACTCTTATATTTAGGACCGGAGATAATATCTAATAAGTGATATTTGTGTAAAATACATTCAGATTTCAATAGAGATTTATATGTATTTTCAAAGTAGAAAGGAGGTTATGTAATTTATATAAAATAAAGATAGATCGTATATGCTGAAATGAATACTTATTGTGCAATATATTTACAACACCAATCGTTCTATTTTATTATGACATATTGATATTATTGTTTATTTAAAATTTCAATTTTCTAGTTGCCACATCAAATCTTGCCGCATGTCATTGCAATATTGACAACCAATTGTAGGCACATGTTTATGTGCACAAACAAATCAAACAAATTTGACTACAACTAATTTGACGCCGCAGATAATTGATTGTCAATAATGTTTAGCTCCAACTAGCATTTTTCTGGTGATTCTTAGCGTGATGAATGAAATGGATAATATTTGTTTTAAAATATATATAATTAAATTCAAAATAGAAAGTTATTAGAGAAAGGTTTGAAAATAATTAGGGAAGCATTTAAAATATAAAAATTGTATAAAAATAGTGTGCGAGACAGAGAGATAGTTGAGGGGGAAAAAACTCATGGAGACAGGAAGCCTAATGATAAATTATCCCCAAGTTATTGGTGGCATATTTTAATCAGAGTTCAAGAAGAGTAACATAAGAAACAAATTAATAAAAGATTCTCTGCAACTAATTAGATGGAAATTATCTCTTGAATTGATCCACCTTAAATTAGTTAGGTGTCTTTTTTTAAAACGAAAAAATTCGATAGATGTCTCATTGAACCGCCAATAATGGTTTAAGAGTTGGCACCATACCAAACCCCATCTTCTCCAGTTACAATCAAGCTTCACTCCACAAACGTGATTTATTGTACCATACTGCATGAATGAATAACACTATTTGTAGGAATCCCCATTTAGTAATAGTAAGCTCCTGAAAACATGTTAGGCTTCAAATCCGAAAGGAAAGGAAATGATACGATTGAGTTTCACTTAATTTTGACCATACGGTCAAGATTTATGTTGTTTTATTTATTTATTTTTAATGGATACAGAATCTAAAAGAAAAATAATATGTTAACTCTCATTTTTTCCACAAAATAAAAAAGAGATTTTATTATTTAAAAATCATCAATTAAACATTTTAAATCTAAATTGCTTAAAACTATATTTGGACGGAGCAAATCTCACTATAATGATAAGTACCATAATGCTCATTATTGTTATAAGCATTGAAATTGGTTCGGAAATGATATAACTAGGGATTCTCAATCTTAATCTTCCTTTTCAATTTCAGTATAAGAAGTGTTAGGCAAGGCCTTTGTAAAAACTAATCAAAGCGCGTCACTCATTGCTGACCTTATCTATGAGATATATACACACATACATACTGTAAATCATGCCCTTTACAGTTTCCACTATTATTCATCAAATTATACATGCTAAGCTGAAAATGACTCAAGGTAAGCAAACAACAGCCTGAAAGACATAAGCAGATTTCTCTATTCACAAATCCATATATGATGCCGAGTGAGTTGAGTCCAACAGAATAGGCTTCCTTAACCAGTATTGCCTAAACCTCTGACTTGCATACTCCTTGTAGTCAAAGTCAATCTTATTGACATAACTCTGCAAATTACAAATGTGAAACATCTCATTTTTGCCGTCTTGAGCATATTATATATATATATATATATATATATATATATATATATAAACACATTGATGATAATGAAATATAATGATGATTACCGAAATAAGTCCCCACAAGCCCCAGAAAAGATGGTTTGCAAGAGTGTATTTCTCTACATCTTCCACTAACTGCTCCACTTCTTCATTGCTAGGCCTCTTGCCTGCGTACAAGCAGTTGCCAAACTAGTTAGAACCATGAATAAAATCCAGGTAGTTCAGGAATAACTGCAGAATTGTTTGGCTCATTAACAACTTCACCTTGTTATATCTAAAGACGTAAGGAAACATTTTAACAGTATATCTGAGAAATATGATCTGACTTAGTTTGTTATTGTAAGGTTGATAGACGTTTGAGGTTTAAAATTTGTATCACAAGGGAAGTTAACTAAGCTGAGGTTCAACATTATAGATTCATTTCACTTCAGGTTTAACTTATCGGCACTGATGATCTTTACTAATAGATGTGAATTGTACTGATAGGGTGAACTGATCAACAGGCTAACCTTCAGAACTTAAATAAATGCGAACAAATCTTTTGCGCTCCTCCAAACTTGGATATTTACAGTAGTCCAGCACATGAGGTGTGTCAGTGTGGTAATTGGCCGCCATTTCACAAAAGTGATTTGCCAGGTCATATGCAATAGGATTGTAACTTGCATATTCATAATCCTGTACAGATAATCTTATAAATAAGAACCAAGTTCTGTGAAAAATATATGTAACAGACACAAGAAGAAAAGAGAACCTATAAATCATGTTCATAAATGGAACCGGAAAAACAGGTCAAGCCATTTAAGCCCGAGCCCTCAAGGGTCGAGCTTTGCAAATAAGGATAATTTAGGAAAAGTGAGATTCAAGGGCCGGGTCCACTTGTCTTTCCAGCTCTATTCATAAACTTTGTGATCATAATTATTACGGATCATCACTCTACTGTTAGCAATTTTTATGTTTCAAACTCTGGAGTAGATGATCTTACTGCAGCTTCCTTGGACAAGTTCATTTGAGTGTTTCATAAATGTAAAGATGAACTTAATAGATAGTCATATTATGGCAAAGTAACTTACAATTATAGTGATTGATCTGGTTTCTTCATCCATCATTATGTTACCATATTGTAGGTCGTTGTGACAGAAACCAATTTCTTGACACCTATCGGATGACTTCTCCAGCATATTTATTTCCTCATCCAGATATTTCAACTCAAATTTCTTGCTATCCTTTGGGGAACACAAACGTTTGGCCTGACTTAGCCAGTTCCTAGTAGACAAAGTACAAGTGAATATATCAATTTAGTTCTATGCATTTCAGTGAAAATTGTGAACAAGCTTGACCTGATGTAAAACTTACCTTATTCTCTGCCAAAGCTGAACTTTCATTGGACCTGGCATATGAAGATTATGGAACTCCCTCATCTTAGATGCTATTAAAGCCGATATTTCCGGGTCTCGTAGGTCGGCAGCTGAGAGTGTCTGCAAAACAAAAATAGAAGAAAAGATACATGTCATACACAACTTGAACGCTTACTCAATTGGTTTTGATCAGTTGGTCAATCTCACTTCTCTATGACCTTTTGAAATGAGATAGGTGTAGTTATTTTCTTACAAAGTTTTGTTAGCTGCCTTTGGAATGTAATGATGATTTCTAAAAGTTTCAGAAACATGACCATCTTCTGTCCAATTCCATGACCAGTCCTTTTACTCTGAACTGGGTTCACAGGATAAGTTTCAAGCATGGTTTTTATTTCTTTCATTAGTGTTTAAGACAATTCAAACTCTTATACTTCTTGAGGTCACATGGAGTATCAAGAACTTTTGCTTGTTCAGAAGTAGTTATAAATGCAACTTTGATTTCAAAATCATACAACATTTTCTCCAAAATATGCCAACACACACACACACACACACACACACACATATATAAGTGGACCCTTAATTCATCAATTATCTGATATATTTACTGAAGCAAGTGTTCCCTCGAAGACACAAGCCAAAGAGCTTTCAGCCAGACTTTTTCCAGGGCAGATATTTCCATGTATGAATAAACATATTTTTTCGCTTATCAATTTCAAGAAACTTATCCTTGTGTCCTTTGGCTATTACCAACGGCAGAAATTTCAGAAGGGAAAGGAAAACCTTGCAAAGGAGTTTCTTAAAGGGAAAAGAAAACAGAAAAAGAGAGGAACATGGGGCACACAAAAAATGGTAAATAAAATACAATGAGAGCCTGAGGGCACCTGAATCTTTTTTGTTTTGAATGGAACTTTTGAAATCAACTTCTTGGAGAGGAATCTTAATAAATTCTAAGGCTCTCTCAACACTCACTCTAACCCTTCATTTCTCCAAAAAGAAAAGGGCAAGAAAAAGAAGAAAAAGAGAAGAATCATCACCAAAGGAAAAAACCTTTGACCAAAAAAACTAAAGAACTTTAAGAAATGGCATTCAAATTAAACCCATGTTCTCTTAAGCAGAGACCATGTATTGAAAATTTTTAGGAATATGCAGTTACTTGTGATCAGTTCTCAATAGGAAGTGTACAGTTAAGGACATGATTCTTTACCACCGCTATTTAATTATAGAGCTATTTAGTTAATTTGGATAGATTAAAATTTTTTGATAAATTAAATAATTATAACAAATGTGACATGACCAAATAGTTGTAAGAGAAGAAAAAAGTTACATACTCTGGCGTGGATGAACTCCTCAACCCGACCGGTGGAGAACCGGCCAAGGAGGCGAGGACCCTGGCCGTGCTTGGAGATACACTCAAAGGTCCGAATTTCTTCTTCCCTATTGAAGAAAATTTCAACACCTTCACCGTACAAACGAACCAGAACTTTTCTGAGAGAATCACCGTTTTTGGTTGGCCAGTTTATCTGAAAGACTTCATTGGTCATGGCTCCCTTCAAAGGCACAACCTGCAAGGCATCCATATCATCTGTCACGTCTCCTAATTCTAAAGCCACCGATGCCAGAACCTCCATTATCTCTTCTGGTGATGCACAGCCTTTTAGCAAGTCAATTGTTTTTATGGCCATTTCGTCAATCAAATCTGAAGAAAAAGTAAAAAAACAAGGATTAATCATCCATGCATGGTTATTATAACACAAAAAGGTGAGAAATCTGAAAATCCCAGTAAGAATCTGACTTCAGAAATTTATCAAGAAGAGGAAAGAAGTTCCATTCAGAGCTTGGAAACAGGGGAAACAGGATTCAACATAAAGAAAGTTCACTCGTTGAACTAGGAAGAACTGGGATTTTTATTGAAGAACCCAGAGGAGAGGGAACATCACAAATCATAAATTAATATAAAAACACATAAAAAAGCGTAAGATTAACAGAAATAAGAAGCAGAATCGGGACTCTAGAGACTTACCGGGAAGAAATAGAAGAAGAGTCAGAGCTGAGAAGCAGGGGAAACTGAGATTCGATAACTCGCCAGAACCTGTAGATTTGCGAGTTTCAATCAAGAATCAGTGATAACAAAACCTGAACAACTACTGAAAAAGAAAGGAAGGAAGAAAGAAATAAAGAAACAGGCTGGAACAAAGCCGACATAAACTAAAAGTTAGAATCCGGATTAGACTTACCCAGAAGCTAGAGAACAGGGGAAATTGACAGATTCAGAAAGGCAGAGATACAAAATGAAGTTAGATAGAAACCTGAAGAAAACCAAAAAAGAAAAAAAAATTAACAAAAAAACTGAGAACGAGGTTGCGTCAAAAGACGACATATCGAAAACACAAGTGGGATGATGAAATCAAAGAGAGGGCGAAGTAAAATTCTTACCGAAGAAGCAAAAGGAGAGCCAATAGTAAAAGAGAGTGAGAGATGAGTCCAAGAAAGCTGCAGAGAAAGCAATACCGACGCCTTTGATCTTTACAAGTGACGAAGTCAGACGTAGAAATGGAAGAAATACACAGAGGCAATGAACCAATTTTATAAGCACTCTCCATTATCGTCGCATTGCAGAAAAAATTAATTAACAAATTAAATTAAATTTAAAAAGTCAGAATTCTTCATGACGCGGAATCTGTCTCCATCCCTACTACGGACGGCGACGCGTGCTAAAACGCAGCTGCTTGGGGCGCGTTCCATGCATTGGCCAATAGAAGTAGTACACGTGGAAAGAATCTAGTGGGAGTTGAATCTTCTACAAGATTCTCCGATTAGTGGTTAAAATTTGCTTACAGTTAAAGTAAATAATAATGATAAATGATGATTAATGCCTCCATCTTTTCACTTTTTTTTTTTTTGACCAGCAATCCATCTTTTCACATTTAGACTTTTCAAAGTTGACAATAAAAATGTCTAAAATGAATGGTGATAACTGCCTTACGTGGATTCCCATTTATTACTTGGGCTGTTTTTAATCCATAAATTCCATAGACGTTGGTTATAGTTTGACCAATGAACAGTTTAATATTTTATATTATCTTCAGTCTTTAATATAAGATCTTGTTTGATTTTTATTTTGATCCTAAATACAAGACATTAATCTACTTTGTCTCTCATATTTATGTATTTTTTTCAAAATAGTTCTCCTAACAATGGTAGTTATAGCCAATAAATTTAATTAGCAAGGATATTTTAAAAAAGACAACATATATTTATTACAAATAACTAACTTAACTTCTTTCCTTAATCTCCTCAAATTAGTTAACTAGCTCTTATAATCAAGACCGAAGGTAGTATATTATTATTTAATTAACACTGAAATGAATGTTTTTCATCAATATTAAATGTTTATTGGTATTAATGATAATTTCTCCAATCAGTATTTGGGACTTCCGCCATTCTATCATGGATGTTAGATAAATTTTCCTTTGATTGCCAAGAGAATCCCAAAAAAAAATTAGCACAGATTTGTTTCTACGTAATTGATTGAATCAATTATCTGAATTTTTAACAAGATATATTCGATAGTGTTAGTAATTGAACTAATATACTGTAGGTCTTAAAAATATAAATGAAATTATGACAAAAAAATTAAAGATGATGTTATGATTTTATTCAACATGTTATTTTTAATCAATTATTGTCAAAAGTAATTTGTTTTACCAGCATTATCATAATTAATTCTAATTAAAGTGATGGTTTTTCACTTTAATTATTTTTCCATAAGCATCTTGGCAGTTATGGTAATTACGTCGTGCACAATGTGAAAGAGAAGAAAATAAGTACTACCTCCGGTCCTAATTATAAGAGTCAATTGAATAATTTGAAGAGATTAAGGAAGTAAGTGGACTTAGTTATTTGTCCTAAATAGGTGTTGTATTTCCTAAAATATCCTTACTAATCAAGTGTATTGACTAGAACTATCATTGTTAGAAGGGTTACTTTAAAATATATATATATATATAAATATGAGAGACAAAGTATTTAGGATTAAAATAAAAATCAAACAGGATTTTATATTAAGAATAAGAGATAGTAGTAAATAACACAGAATATAGCTGGCAAACCACAAAAAGGAAAAACAAAGACTATAAATTTGTCGTATCAATAAGGGACATTTAAAAACGAACAAAAAATAAAAAGAAAGTCAAAAGTGTTTGGTTTAATAATCGCAATAAAATTTCATATTAAAATAGTCAAACTCAAAAGAATCGCTTATTGTGGATAGAAATGACGCCGTTTCGAATCAGCTAACGTGGCTCCATTGGACTTTTCCTATAACGTCCAAAACACCAAATACAATTTTTTCAAAAAAAAAATTATATTACTTTTCTCAAGATTTGATTTGATCATACATAATTTTTATTTCCAAAATTATATTAAAATTTAGCATTATTTAACATGTAAGTTTTAAAAATATACAGGTGTCACTCGTGGACTTCATACTGAAAAATAAATATGACATATTATTGATAATTTATTCAAGTATATATTTTCAATTTATTGTTGAATTTAAATCGAAAACACTTTTTTTTAAAAATCAATCTGAAGCATTTTCTCTTAGTAGGAGACACTTTTGTGCTTATAAAATTAATAGTCAATGAAACTAATTATTTATTTTGTCAATTTGGAGAGGGAGGAAAAAGGGCGGGATGGATAAGTCAATATGATTTTTAAAAAAATTAATTAAAAGAATTGGAGACATCACTGTCTAGCTAGCTTAGAGGGATGGATGTTGGCAAAAAAAAAAAAAAAAAGCTTAGAGGGATGGATAAGTGCATTTTTAATTTGATTTTTTTTTCCTGAACATTTTTCATTTTGATATGATGTTTGGTTTTGTTGCCCAACGGTTGAAAGGGAAAGGTCGGTTTTTTTTCCCCTTTGGTGTGTGCAATAATGTCTTATCATATTATTTTTTAAATGTTATTTTCAAAAATACCGGCTAGGAATATTGTTAATAATATCATCAATCATTTTCGCTAAACAATGCTATATATATATAATATACAGTAAATAAGTTATTGATATTGTGGTTCATTATTTAGAATTCATAAAATTAAATACTGCTTATCAATCAATATGAAATATGGAATTCATAAATGAATATATTGTTAGAAAATTATAAATCTTGTGAACATAAAAATTAGGTTTAGATCTATAAATTCGCGAAGGCCACCAAAAAAGATCTATAAATTGGCCCTAAGATAACTTTATTTGCACGCTTTGTTTATTAAATCATAATATTAATTAAATTTGTTTACATCAAGAAAACTAATAGATAAAAAATATTATAAATATGTTTATATTTAAGATCGGAGAAGTAATAATATATATATCTTTTAATAAGTATTGAGACACAAACAATCCACTAGTACTTACTGTCATATATATTAAAAAAACTAATAAAAAATTGTTAATATTCGTGCTTTTCAAAAATTTATTACTTTTTTGGTCTTATTTTTAAGGTAAAAAAAGTTTTTTTTAATCTTGTTTATAAGCTATTTCTTCAAATTTTTAACATAAATGTATTGTTTTGCCCTTTATTTATTAAAGTATAGATATTTTTTTAAAAAAAAGTGTATATGTTAAATAAAAATAAAATTAAAAATTATTATATTTTAATTAAAAAAATCAATATAGTTTAAGACTTTTTTTGTATGGTACATGTGAAATGTGAACCATACGATATTACAAGATATTTTTTGAGACAAAATCAAGACTCACCGGCCACAAGAATGATTCGTCGGCTCCTCCTTTATGGATGCGGCATGCGGGTCCCCAGAAACGGGTCTCTCCCGTGTTGCCGCCGATTTTTTTAATTTCTTTTCAAAATTTTCCCTATTTTTCTGCCCATAAATTATTAATTTAAATGTAAGATTGACTTGCGCGTTTATTCTCGTATCTTATCTTTTTTTCAATAACGTCCTCCTTTTTTGATCCTTTCGCCAGATTCATGTCGTTTTAAAGCTTTATCTATTGTTTCAATGTTATCGAACTATGCAAGAATACAGTCTTCTAGTATTATCTCATTCTTAATTATAAAATCTTATTTAATTAGGTAATACTATAATACTGTTTATAAATAAGATTTTATAATTAGAACAGGAGATAATATTATTTATTATAAGACAAACAAAAAGATTTCATCTTATCCTATTTGTAAATTGCATTATTAAATTTTTAACATAAGCATACAAGTTTAACTTCAAACTGGATTTTATATTAAGTATTGAAGCTAGAATTAAGTAGAGGTAAATTCAAAATATGTTAAATTTAGAGATAAAGTTGATAAGGTTTGCAGTTTCTTTAATATATGAAATATACTAAAAATGACTTATAAATAGAACTAGTTTGATATATATTTTATTCTTAATAAGCTTACTTTCCAATAAAAATGTTATTTGTTAATTTATTTAATAAATTTTTATGTAAAATAAGTTTAGGTGAATTGCTATTAATATAAGTAATTGAGAAATTCTATTGAGTTAATACAATTTTTAATCCCACAAGTTTATCTTTATTTTAGTTTTAATCCCTCAAGTTTTTTTCATTTAAAACATTGATTCATATAATCCAATAAAAATTTAAATCATTTTACCTTTTGAAATATCAAAATTTATAGTTTGAAACTTGAGGGAAGAAAATTAAAATAAAAACAAACTTGAGAAACCAAATATTATATTAATCCAACTCTGTTATAGTTATTTTTGTACATTCAATATACCATAGGGAAAGAGGAATACATAGAATTCAATATAGTATAGTAAAATAAGAAATTGAAAGATTTTGTTGAAATTCTTGGTTTGGAAATTTCCTGAAATGCTAATGATAGGTTCTTCTCTCTATTGGAACAATATGGCTATTATGCTCATTACAAGACTTGTTGAAGAGATAAAATATAGCCAAGATATATCTCTTTTTTTTAAAAAAATTAAAGGTTGAATCAATCATCATAACAAGAATTGGGTCCAAAATTAAGATATATTAGGGAAAATAAAACTTCCATAAAAGAAAAGCAAATGAAAGTTACAGAGACTCACTAGAGTTAGGAAATACTTTCAGGTTCAGATAGCATTTACAAAGGTTTTTATAGATTGACTACTAATAAGGTGTTCATATCGGCAATGGGTCTAGGTATATAGTTTGAAATGGAAATAAACATTATTTTTATTCAAAAATAATTGAAATAAACAAATAAAACTCTCATAATATTTATAAATAATATTTTTATAGAAATTATTAAATTCTATAACTAATTTTATTTGTATTTTTTTCCTTGAAAAGAAGTCAATTTCATTATCACAAAACAAGATAATGGTAAAAGTTTCAAGTGGATCAGTGAAGCAACTCAACATAGACCTAAACAAGTAATTATGAACAGATAAAGTTGGAGATTTATATTATAATTTGTATTGTTATTATTAACAAATTTGGACAAAGAAATAAAAAGTATGTTTAATACTATTTATAGTTTTTAATATGAGAGTTAGTTGACTAATTTGATTAAATTAAAAAAATTAGTTAAATTAGTTATT